TCACAGTCAACTGGCCTCTGATCTCAATGAGTAATCAACAACAAACACAAAAATCAGCTTCTCTTCAAATACACTTTGGTATAATGTTGTCTGATCTCAGTGTGCTAGAGCCCTGTCCTTATTGCCCCCTCTGGCTGATAAACAAGGCAATGCTAATTCCCTGGTGATGACCAGCCAGTGATTCCATCAACACTTGGCAACCACTTTCACCGCGGGACATAAGCATAATGCCGCTATTTGTTTTATGTTACAACAATATCATGCCTCTTGTTTGGCACTGAGGATCTGTAAAGAGATTTCACAGGATTGGTTATGCTGTGAAATATGATAATAGCACTGTTTTATTCCATAAACTTTTGTTTATTCTGGCTTACATGTATAATTTACAGTTTATGCATATGGACTGTGACAGGAAGGGAACATCTTAAATGACCAGGACCTGCAGGTGTGTCTAAACTTTTATTACACTAAAGGATAACTCAGCTAGTTTGCACTGTATTCCATGTAATTACTGAATAATAAGCCTTTAATAAGACTGTAATAAGGTTGAGATCTTACTAACAGATGTGATCATGGTCAGAGAATGTTATAGTGTACTTTAGAAAAACTGGTTGATTTGTATATTTGCTGTAGGTGAAATCTTTCATTGGAGTGGAACATGTAAATTGCACCTTGGTTCTTGTCCCATACAATAAAAGCTGCTAGAACCTTTAGAACACATGTTAAAAAAAGAGTCATCCAGAGAAAAAGTTAAAGCACCAAAATATAGTTGTTCTATCCAAAGAACCCTTTTGGCACCTTCATTTTAAAAGGGTACAACAAATACCTTGGAAACATCTACAGAAGCTGCTCCTCGTCTTTTACCACATTTTCCCTGAAACAACCTTCCCTAAGCTTGTTCATGCTGGGGGTCCAGGGCTTGCAGAGTCCACTGTGTCCTGTGACAGCATTTTCAACTGCTCTGTGGGCGTTGCGGTCATGGTCCACATGCTTCTCATGGTTTTGGGCCATCTCCCGTGTTTGTGTCCTACACGTTTGACTCCATGACTGGTATTGTTTCTCCTTCTCTCCCTTTCACCCCTCGCCTCGCAACAAAGCCTGCCGTTTTCAGCGTACAAGGCTACTTGTGGTGCGAGCTACCCACTCCCTGCATTCCTGCTCCCTATCTTTGAAGCGTTTGTGGGCGATTTACAGATAGCAAGTCCTTCAGCCAACAGATGAGCTTCTGTAGGCATGACAAAACGAACAAACAGCACGTCGTGCTCCATTTATAGAGCCACAGAGAGGGCTATAAAATGAGAGGGAGAAGGCTTTGGCTCACTGTGGGCCACATGGTTTTGAGTAATCAAGGAGTGATGTATCTCATGTAGGTCAGTTTCAGCAAGTGCAAGCTGAAGTTTTACTATATTGCATGATATGTTATTGAAACTGATCTATTTCGCATGGTGCAAGAGTCAGAGACCACCCTTCCTTTATTTAATTTCTAGTCCTAAATGGCCATTAAGTACAAGTTATTATTTTTCAAGAGATGTTTCTAAGTAGATTAGATATTAGATAATTCACTTGCATAAAGAAGGAGAAAGTCAAGGGAAAATAAGTGAAAAAACAGTAGTTTCCAAAACTGGAGTTCAAAAAATGATTAAAAGCTACAGAGAAAATGGGACTCCTAACAACCACCTGGTAGACACCAAAAGTGCCCCCAATCAGATAAACAGCACTTAAGGCTTTCATCTCTGAGAGAGAGGAGAAAATCAAGCTGCTTCAGATCTGAAAACATCCACAGGTGTTTCTGTCCATCCTTCCACTGTGAGAAGACGACTCAGTGCTGTGGGTCTGAAAGGATGTGTAGCTTTCAAAAAGAACCTCACTGAGAAAAGGAGACGGACACAAACAAAGAAGCTGAACAATGGACTGACCACCCCAGAGTCCAGACCTCGCTTGGATTGTGAGAAGCAGAAAATGCAACAAACCTCTAAGACTGAACTTTGGAGGTGTGTCTGCAGATTTCTGTGAGAAAGTGAAAGTGAGTCTCCTGAAAAGACTGGAAGCTGTAATAAAGGCAAAAGGAGGAGACCTGAAAATTTTATATCATGGTGTCGGCAAAGAAGACGTCTCAGAAAATGTGGCGCTTTAAAGATAAATGCTCTTTTATTGAACAGGCAGCAACAGGCGCTACTGGAATGGCCGAGACAGAAGGCAGGTTACTTTCTGCCATATGCTTTCACCTGAGCACTAACACTGCACTGACTACACCACAGCCTGACACAGAATAGCACAAATAAACACATAAACACACTTTAGACTAACAACAACAACCTATTTACAAAGAACGTTTCTCCTGCCGCAAATGCGGCGCTTCCCAAGAGCCTCCTCGTGCAGCTGCTCTAGGCCATGCCTCTTCTGTTATTTTATAGACTGTTAGAAATAATACCATTTTTGTGGAGAGTGTATCTGGAAATTATATAAAAGTGTTAGATATGTGGTCTCTGGCTTCCGCACAGTGCTGTCCACACTCTGCTAAACTGTACCTTTCAGGGTTTTGTTTTTATGTGTTTACATTATTCGTACTTTGGGGAACAAAAATGTGCCTGTACCCTTTTTTCTGACAGTGTGTTTATAGTATGATACTGTATACAAATAAAATGTGTTGTTTAGAAGGCATGCAAGAAAAAGATGGTTCTTCAAGGGTTCTTTAGTAAAGAAGATGGTTCTGTACAGCACCATGAACCCCCAAAGAAAGGGTGCTAAAGCATTCTTCAGGTTGACGGAGAATGTGTTTTATGTGGTTCTATATAGAATTCTTTGGAAAAGGGTTCTATATAGCACCAAAAAGAGCTTTTCTATTTGTACAGGGTTGACATCATAATAATAGAAGAACACTTTTTGGTGCTATATAGAACCATCTACAGTGCCTTCTCCATCAATCAGGAAGAACCATTAAGCGAGAACAGAACAAATCATGCAAAGGGTTCTTTTGGTATTCATGGTTCTATATAGAACTGCTTTCTTTACTAAAGAACCCTTGAAAAACATTGTTTTTAAGAGTGCATGTTTACTTATCAAAGTCTTTCATTTGCAGCTGTGGAATAAAATATACATTTCCTACTTCATTCACTTCCTAATATGTTGCTTCATATGTTCTAACTACAAAGACTAACTTCATATGTCTTTCATTGAACGATGTTCTACCAAAATGTCTTTCTATTGTAGTTTTGGTTTGTTTGGGGAAAAAACTCAAATACTCACTCTAGCAATTTAACATCTTGTGTTTCCTTTAACTCTCCTTTGTTTGAAACGCTCAGTGTTGGCCTTGGTCTCAAACTTAAGTTATCTATTTGCACAAGTTGGAGCATGCTAATGTAAACAGTCCTTGTTAGCACTTTGAACAGAAGACTTTGTTTTCATTCAGAGTAAAACTCAAAATTCACGGCTTCTTTGGTCAAACTTCATTTGGTCCCGCATAGATGATCTACAGACAATTTAATCATTAACAAAATTCCTGGCGATGTTCAGTTCATTATCATTATGGTCAGGTTTAGGTTTAGGCGTAGGTGTAGGTTTTGCTTTGAGGTTAGGTTTAGTGTTCGGGATAAATTTAACAGGATCTTCCACTCACAACTTCAAGTTCAGTTGCATTTAACAGATATTTAGTTGAATGTTGCTTAAAGACATACTGAGCATCTACAAAGCATCCACAGTGGACCATCCAAATAAAGTGTTACCGAAAATATTAGCATGCTAATGCTGTGTTTCTTAGCAACCTGTACCATGACAGAACAATGGAAGTTCTCATAACTTCACAAATGTTGAAGACTTAATCAGAAGCAAGGCTGAAATGATGTGTAGTGCTTAATCATTTGGTAAATTTGATCAATTTTACAGGTCAAAACCTATAAAAAACAGGTCAAATTAATCTCAAATTCACTACCACTCAAATCACTGGGCATATGAACTGTTGCTGTTATTTTATTCAATATGCAGAGTGCAGAGTGGTTCCACCTTGGCAATGGAGGATGTCTACTTCACCATATCTTTGAACCTGTATGCTGAACATATAATAAGAGAAGCAGGACTGGAGGAAGATATGACAGTTACGCTTGGAAAAGGAAAAAACAGCCAGAACAAGAAGGATGGGCACAACCAGAGGAATCATGAAAAAAATATTAAGAAAACTGGATGTTCTAGAGAAACACTATCCCCAATACTAAACTTATACAGAGTGCATTGAAATACTATGATCTGGAATTTTAAGATGTTTTATTTTATTTTTCAAGAACAACAAGAAGTTCAAATAAATGCTACATGTACTGCAGTTATCTATTTTTGTAATTTCTTCATTCTATACAGTAGTAGCATCATAATGTCATTATTTTATACATGCATCCACAACAGAATTGGTTTTATATTGATGAAAACAGTGATTCTAAACAGTGTAAATTGGTAGGGAGTATCAAAGCATTAGTTTAAATCATACAAACAAAGATCTGGTCAAACTTTCTCTTCAGAAACATATTTAGCTGTGAAAATATGTTCGGTGTCCTTTGAAAACCACTGCTACTGTCTTACATCTTCACACCGTGTCACTGAAAAGCCAATTATTTCTCATTTGTCATTGCAAAAATCCCTACAGCAGAGATGAAAAGGAAACATAACAGGTACTTCCAGATCAAACATCACACAGAGCTCATGCACATCATTTTTCAACTTTCAACAATTATTTGTATAAAGGATATGCATCGTTGTGACAATAGCGCGATTGTGCCGGGGCTGTTGTGCATTGAGCTGCAGCTCTCTCATAGATAGGCCTTGTTGTGCCTCAGCCAGACCGAGGCAGATGTGGAAGAGAACAATGGAAGCTCCTTCAACAGCGAGCAGGGCAGTGACTGACTCCAAGGGTACACAGGCTCCGAAGAATGCCTGGCACAGATCCAGAGCCACTGACGCTATTACGGACCCACCTCACCTCCCATGATGGCCCGGGACGGAGGGGACCACACCTTCAAAGGCCGGCCCATGTTCCTCAGAAGCGCCGAAGACTATCCAGAAGCTTGGCGGAGCGTCGTCAGAGCGGAGACCGGATTGTGTTGAGAAGGACATTGGAGGGCCATCCAGACTGTTGACCCAGGCTCAGAAGATCAGCACCCAGAATGGCTACTGCTAGCACCTCAGGACAGAGCCCCTTCGGGCTGGGCCGGAGAAAGAGATCCCCTGGTATCCTGGATCAGATTGGCAAGTTCTTTGGAGGGGATAAGAAGAAAAGGGGCAAGGTGAGCGATAAAGAGTGCATGATACTCTGACTTTTAGAAAGTGAAGGGCATCGTGGCTTTTTGGTTGCTTTTCTTTAAACATTTATATCACTTTTAAAGACAGGGGAGACATGAATTTGAAGTGTTTTTGAGGTTTTATTTGCAAGGAATAATGCTTTTGTTCAAGTAGCCTACATATATATATATATATATATATATCACTGCTCTTTACATGGTATGGAAATTTCATGAAGGATTGACCAAAAAAACACCCAAAATTACTTGGAAAAAGTCTGGTTCCATTGACTTACATTAAAAGTAAAGCATGTTTTTTCCTTCTTCTGCAAAGTAACGATTTTTGAGCTACAAGGTTTTCTTCCGACAACAGCGATAAATGTATACATACTATATGTATGTGCATACTATATGTATGTGCATACATATATGTGTGTATATATATATATATATATATATATATACATATATATATATACACATACATACATAATTATTATAATTAGTTTGATGGTTTGATTTAATTATTATTGCTTATGTAGAGGAGAGCTGTTTTGTGGTATTCTGGATTATTTTTAACATGTTGTTTAATTTTATTTACCCTTATTGTTTTTTTGTTTTTTTTTACCAATTTTTAAAATGTGTGCTACATTTATGTTACTATGCTAGGTGATGTAGCTTTTCTTTCTTTGCATTTATTTGTGTCAGATTTAGCATACAACTCAGAATTAAGCAATTATTTGTGTAAAATTAATATAAAATTGAACATTTCTTTGTATGAAACTTGGCAAAAAGTTTGAATGTCTCAACATTTGAGAAATTATGGACACCAAGCACAGAATACTGAACAATTTCACAGGTTTTCATGATGGCTTCTTTTGGCTTGTTCAAGATCAATGATGACAGAAGATTATCATGTGTTACTCATTATCATGGTTTAGAGGATTTCTTGAATTTGAAGAATCCTTTAAATTCTTAATTTTTGCGATGTTTGAGATCAATCATTTTATACCATTTTATATTTGAATTTAAAGATTCCAACTGTATTACTTCAACTAACTCACTGCAAAGGACATTTTAAGTATCAATACTTGGTTGAGTATATATTGATTTTTTTCTGTTCTGGTCTTGAACTGTTATTATTAATATTATTATTGTTATTATTATTAATAATATTAGTATCTTTTTAGATTTGTGCTAGTTAATACTCCTGTGTATACAGCAATAATATGTCATCTAATATATCATCATCTAATGTATTTTCTATGTAGATGACTTGTTTCCTGTCTAGTCTTGAACAAACACTTTCATACTGTGTTTTCAGGGTTCATTCCGGGGTCACCTGTCCTCCTCACCCCAAAGACCCCTCCATTCCTCCACCCGACGCCGTGGAGATGTGAACCCAGTCCTGCACTTCTTCAGGAGCTTTGTGAGTACAAACTTCAAACTTTAGCACTAAGCAAACTGATATATGAGACTCAATAAAGCTTCAGGTAATGACACTTTAATCTGAGATCTTGCACTGAAGCCCCAGGACACCTTGCTTACTGTGCAGGAGCCGTCTTCACACCCACTACACAGCGTCTCTAAAATCACATTGAAAAGGCTGTAAAGGGATTGATTTTTGCCTTTTTTGCTTGTCTGTCGAATTCGAGTAAGAGAGGCCTTTACTCCTGTACTACACAGCTTTCCTAACAGTTCACTGAAAAGACTTTTAAGCATCTTTCAGTTAGTATTAAGCTGGGGTTACTTAAGGCCATTTTGCTTGATCCTTATTTATTCACTTCTATGAAAAACGTGAGAACAACCATCGAGACCCTCATCACTACCAGTGTTCCTTTTGTTGGGCAGCGAATTTCTCTACAACACATTGTGTGTGGAGTATGTCAGCCATTCGCAATCCAAGTTTGCCGTCCAAAGCTGTCGTCATGTCAGACATGCAGTCCATGTTTACACTTTTTTACAATGGTACAGGCTTGTTTGTCCATCAGACAGCGATTACTTCATTTCTCCCCATGCTTCTCTTTGCTGCAGATGCACCACATCACAGCTTTTCGACTAGAGTAAACACCCTAATAGATACATTACTTTGATAAAGTAATAGCGTTGAATCAATTATCCACCGAAAAGGCAGCACTGATTTAACTGTAATGTGTTTTGTAGACCTTTTTGGAAGAGATGTGTAATAAACTGTATGAAAGTCACCGAATATTAGTCACCTGCAGTAGAAACTCTGGAAACATTTCTCATTGTTGCTGCTTTATGAAACGCCTGCCCGACTGTAATTGGAAGCAGATGCAAATTGTTCATTAGAAAGACAAATGAGCTTCTAACTTCATTCATCAGCAATGAAAACTGTTCACAGAAGTAAGCAGAAGCTACTATAATGGCAGTAGAACTAAGATTACTATCATAAAGCTATCATAAAGTGTGGCTGGGTTGGATTTCATTCACCGAAACTGTACATTTATCACCCACAGGTGTCCTCTCCTCGTCCCAAGTCGAGGGTAAGTGTCTTTTTCTGTTCTCATTGATCTGTTTTGGTTTTGGCCCACATGAAAAAGTCCTTCCATAATTAACTTACCCTACATCACTTATAAATATAAACGTTATCATATCTTTGTCATGTGGTGGGTATAATCTCAGTATGTGCATTTATCTCACATAACCAGATAGCAAGATTCTCTGATGAAAAACTTTGAACTAATAGTAAGGATTCAACTTTTATTACTTAACAAGAGTAAATAAGTAAACAAACAAACAAACAAATACATAAATAAATATAAAAATTCAAATATGCACACAGACTTGTTCTTTGAAAGCTGGTTGAGTTCCACATTGCAATATTCTGGTTGTTATTGAGCCACAACAAAAGCTCCAAAATGGACATTTTACAGGAGAAGCTAAAAACATGCTAAACTTTGAATGGAAGTAAATGGATCAGGTTGTTTTCCCAAGTACATTTGGAGCATTCCTACTGGGCCATTCAGCATGAAATTTTAACACAAGGGCTTTTTCCAATTCTCCCATTCTTCTTATTCTAATTTTCTAATTTCTGTGGCAATTCTCCACAAAAAATAACAATTACATGCAAATATAAAATATATATAAAAATATTACATGTTATTCCTTCTATTAAATCAAGTGTGCTGGTGACAGAATTTATTTCTTTAGGAGACACCAAACTTTGTTCTTCAAACTAGCTCAAAAGACATCAACTACTTTTTTGAAAAAAAAAATGCTATATGCTGTTTTACCTGCAAAAACACACCAACTACTGAGATAAATGGCTTAAAAATGGGTTCACATATCAGGATATATATGCTATATATATGCTGTCTAGACAAAAAGTTGTATCACCAAAAGGAAACTTTAAAAACATTCTTAAGAATAGAATTTAATGGGACATTTTTGGGTATTTTCTATTGATCCAATGGGCAGCTGGTATTTTAACATTTTACCTTTTTTTTAAAAAATAAAAACAACAGATATAAAGTGAGATTCAAGGTTTTGCTCCAACAACATATGATCTGATGAGATATGATCAGTGATGTACATGATATACTTATGACCAGACTTATTTTTCTGGATATTTAGTTATAACGTTCCTGTCACTCATTTCCTGCCGGTTGCAAATTTTCTCAGATGCTCAAAACACTCATCTCACTTTTGTACTTTCCCTGTTTATGAATGTTTTTAAAATCTCATCACTGCTCATTCCTTCTCATAAGAGTTGCTTACAGGAGTTTTTATAGTTTGAATTCCAACAAGGCAGAAATTTTGTACTTCTGTGGCTTTAAAAGCTGAAACTTAATGGTTTTATCTTGTTTTGTTTCTTTTTCATGTGCAGTGGAGGGAACTCTTGGGCCTGGTATGTCACCCAGCTTTGTACTGAACCCTGTTTGCATTCACAGTCGTCACCGTAGGCAGATGTTTATGGCTTCAGCAGGCAGCCTTTCCTCGTTCCTCTGTCTTGTTCCTAATAGATGTGTCTTCTTCCTTAACAGTCCTTCTTCCCCCCTGTGAAATAACTGATTAGTAATTGCAGCCACTGGATGATTTTTCAAGGCTTTAATAGGTTCGACTAGTGAGAATTCACTTTTGCTGAAGAAATTCCAGTCTTGACATGTTCTTTTCTAATTAACCACAAATTCCAAATTATACTGCCAATACTTTAATGTTATTTATCAAACAACACTTGAAACAGAATGTTTGTTGCAATGAAATTCAATTATATGATTGCAGAAGTCACAAGTGAAAGGAAGTAATATATGCTCCTTTTATTAGTGTTAACCAGTGGCAGGCCTGTTAAGTTTCAAACAGTACTTAATAACAGTGATGGGCTGTGATTATTAGAGATAGGCCTTCAATTTCTGCTATAAAATGTCAAAAACCCTCTATCATAAAGCTAGCACGTCTATTGGATTTCCAAAAGTATGTTAGCACTAAGTGAACATTTTGCCATTCTCTACTAAATCTAGGACATTACATGCTTTATTTAAAGCTTTATTTAAAGACAGTAACATATAATTTATCTTGTAGCGGTCACACAGAGACTCTAGTGAAGACCTCTACTGCCACTGTTTTCCATTTCTAACAACTGACAAAGTTAGTTAGACTACAGCTCATATTTACATGATCTAGAACTTCCAGAAGGTCTAGTGCTAGGGTGCTCAAATCCGGTCCCAGTGGACTGATATTCAGCACAGTTTAGTAGTATCCCTACTCGAACACCCCCGCTGAACCTGGTAATCAACAGATGAGTTTAATCAGGCATGTTTTCAGCAAATTGTGCGGGACACTATACCTCTAGGACTGGAGTTGTGCAGCCCTGGCCTGGAGTAACATTTTTTCCTCACTAAATCAGTCCCACATTTTGTAAATCGAAACAAAACTGCCAATTCCTAACTATGTTGGTAGTTAATCTAATGTAAGTAAGTAATGCTGCATTTATGATCTAGTTGGAACTCTTGAGTTTCCAACCTCCAAGTGGGTAAAACTATTTGAACATCCCTCCAAATTTGAGTTCCGAATTCTCTGAGTTGCCATTACATAGAACAGCACAGAGGAAGAGGTAACAGCATGATTTAACCCCTTAAAATCCCAGGCGTATCACATACTAAGGCTTATTATAGGTTATAAGTATTTGGGCTAAGAGCTAAGGGGTTAAGCTTCTTAAACAAACTTCTATTTGTTTTAAACAAATGAATAAACAAAGGAATACTTTATTAATTATAAGGTTCAGCCAATTGGTGCATGATTTTTGATGAAAATTCACACTTTCATGCCATTTTTAGTGCTATATTAATAGCAAAGTGCCATAGCCTCCATCCACTTATAAAATAAATCGAGCACTATATGAACAACCCTTTAATTCAAATGTAAACAGTTTTTTTTCGAAAACAGAGCTTCTCATGTGCACATGGCAGCCAAATAAGTGCCAGCTTGCTCTGAGTGCTCTGAAGGCCTAAAAGACCCTGAGGGTTTCTCACTACTTAAGGAGACCATGGAGTATCAGGGCATAACCCTGATGCTGTACTGTAGAGTACGTCAGAATGCTTTATATGACGGCAGCAGGAGTACAAATTTGATCTGACAAGTAGGGGCACCAACATCAACAGGCTATATGCGCTATACAGTGCTAGCACCACATGTTCTCATGATATCTAACACTTGATATATCAATGTGAAACACAAAAACAAGCAACATTAGACTATAATAGTTAGATGTTTGGCGACCTGCTTCTCTAAGCACTGCGATAGGCTCTGTTTTGGCAGAGCTTAGCTTGTGCTTGGTGCTTATTCACTTATGCAGTCCCCCTCTATTTCAACTTGTTATGACAACATAATATAATTTTGGCAAAATAAATGGAAAATACAATCAGTTATATGAGCCATATTCTGCTACCCCACAACAATTATCTTGCATAATTTCAAATAGTGGGGAGGGATATGTCCCTCTCGGCCCCCCCTTGAATTGGCACCAATGGATGGAGGTGTATCTTTGACTGTGAGTCAACTTTCCTCATAAAGTTATATGACAGTTATAGCATATTCTGAAATATCCTTGATTTCTGATTATTATTACTATTTTGAATTGAACCGAGTTTTTTTCTGACACTTCCATCCAGAGTGACTCAGTGCTTCTGGATGACTTTGAGACAGCACGACTTTTTCTGAACCGAAGCCGGTAAAGCAGTTTTCTCTCCTAGGGGTCTAGCGACAGAGCTCATTTTCTCCGTTTTAAGTCTTGCAGCCCTTCACCCTCCCTCTGTCTTCATCAGTGTCTGGAAACGTCTCTGAGTCATTCACTCACCAGCGCCCCCTGTGTTGTAATCATGAACTGTTTGCAGTCTACAGGCTCATTTAGGGGTTCATACGTTGAAGCAAAAGTGTGGCACTGAGAGAAAATGAGCTGATATATGTATAAACATAATCCATCAGTCTCTTATTTAAGCATTTTAAAATATTTTAAAGCAACAGTTTTAAGGCAACCAAGAGTTACCAAGCTTCGTCATATTTCTGTAAAGTATAGACTTTCAGTTGATTGATCATCTGTTTTAATAAGTAATTATTGTTGTGAGAAAAAACTATTTTAGTAGATATAGTGTCATTTTTTGTTGGTGCCATGCTTTTGGTCTCTCTAACTCAGCCCTTTGGGCAGTGTTTGCTGCCTGTGTTGTTTGTGATGCATGCATGTGATAACCTCGGCAATTGGATTCATGCGTATGATTTCTTTATCTTGTTTATTAAGGATGGGACTATCCAGATTTTCCCAGTTTTTTAATCTTTTCATTCCCTAATGCTTTATCTTTGTCTCCTCCATTTCAGCACTGAAACCTTTTGTTGAACAAATACATACATATAGACGTACAGTACTGTGCAAAAGTCAAAGACCACCCTTTATTCATTCCGTTTCCACTCAAAGTGGCCATTAAGTTCAAGTAATTCATTTTCAGTGTCCAGAAAATACATATTGAACCCTTTCAATGGCCAGGGCCTGCCAGCCAATCCAATGTTTTATTACACACCTAAGAACAGCTCCATTAGTTTGCATTGAAGTCCCTGTAGTTACTGAATAATAAGCCATAGTATGTAATAAGCCTGGGATTTTAAGGGGTTGTTAAGGTAGTTGTTCCTCAAGGCCCCCCAGACAGTCCACAGTTTTATAAGCCTGAAATTTTAAGGGGTTACGAGAAATTACACACAAGCCTCAGCGACTAAACATAATACCAAATTCTCAGTATTTAGTGCCCAGACATTCTTTCAGGAGTTATATGCAGAGATATTTTCCCCTACCTTCAAAGTTCAGTCTTAGAAGGTGGTTGCACTTCCTGCTTCTCACCATCCAAATAATCCCAAACACGTTCAGTGATGCTGAGTCCATTTTTCTGAGAACGCTATACGTTTTTGCTTTGTTTGCTTGGTTTGCAAATTGTCCTTTTCTCAGTGAGGTTCTTCTTGACAGCTACACATCCTTTCAGACCCACAGCGCCGAGCCGTCTTCTCACAGTGGAAGGATGGATGTGGATTATTTCAGATCTGAAGCAGCTTGATTTTCTCCTCTCTCTCAAAGATGAAAGCTTTAAGTGCTGTTTCCCTGATTGGGGACAGTATTGGTGGTCTAATAGGTCTTCCAGGTGGTTGTTAGGAATCCCATTTTCTCTGTAAGCTTAATCAGTTTTTGAATTTTCTCAGATACGTGTCTGGAAATTACACAAATGAAGGGGGCTTTGACTTTTGCACATACATGTAACACGTAGCACGATAGTTGGAATGTTACGGAACATGTTACTCCTCAAAATAAGGTTTTCCATAGAGATGACATAACACCACTTTTCCGATATTGATATTAAAACCTTTACACTTGTGATCGGTTAATCTTCAGTTAATATGTTGATCTACAAGTAGCTGGATTGTATTCCTTCTTTTGATCCCTTCAATATCCTATTCATTATGCTGACATTGGCCCCATACTGATAGCTGGTATAGAACTCATGCCATCTCTAGTTTTAAATCACAGTGAATCCACTTGGTGTAACCTAGTGCTCACAGCCACACCGACTTGTTTACACCTCCACAGTTTATACAGTGCTTGTTTAAGTTCCAGCTCCATGCTGGTGCCATCAGTTTTTGTTGATGCAGGATATTTTTGTAGGCTTCGCCATCGACGCGGGGCTCGGAGAGTATCAGATCCCCCCACAGACGCCGCCGAGAACAGAACACACTCTCCAGAATCTTCAACCTGGTGAGCCTACAGTAGCGCTGTCATTTAATTAAAGGTCTCCGAAAGGTCACTGAGACAGAGGAATAAAACTGAAATTATGCTAATTGCATGGCAGCATCAAGGAGATGATATTTGGTGCAACATTAATTCATCCAAGGGTCGTAAAATATGTTAACATTTCTGACTTGGGATTTGGTTATTGGGATATTTAGCTTTGGGATTGAGTAGAAAACACACTCTACTGTGTCAGGGGTTTCACTTTCACAGGTCCTGAGCTGTAAACTGAAAATATAGCCACAGAAATGCACACAAGATTAACGAATGTAATGATGGATAGCAATGGTTGCTAAGCCAGAGCAGACGTCTGCGATCTGACGTTAACGGTGTTAGTAGTTTGTGTTCTCCTCTGAGCATGTTGAGCTGTTCAGTGATCCTTCATCCTTCCAGCTTAATAGCATCATGTGATGGGAAGACCTAGCCAGCATAACATTCTGACCACCTCCTTGTTTCTACACTCATTGTCCATTTTATCAGCTCCACTTACTATATAGGTGCACTTTGTAGTTCTACAGTTACAGACTGTAGTCCGTCTGTTTCTCTGCGTACTTTGTTAGCCCCCTTTTACCCTGTTCTTCAGTGGTCAGGACCCCCATGGACCCTCACAGAGCAGGTACTATTTGGGTGGTGGATCATTCTCAGCACTGCAGTAACACTGACGTGGTGGTGGTGGTGTGTTAGTGTGTGTTGTGCTGGTCTGAGTGGATCAGACACAGCAGTGCTGCTGGACTTTTTAAACACTCACTGTCCACTCTAACTACCTTGTCAGTACACCTGCTCTGTGAGGGTCAATGAGGGTCCTGACCACTGAAGAACAGGGTAAAAGGGGGCTAACAAAGTATCAGAGAAACAGATGGACTACAGTCTGTAACTGTAGAACTACAAAGTGCATATAGTAAGTGGAGCTGATAAAATGGACAATAAGCGTGCCTGATCAGTGTGTGTGTGTATATATATATATATATATATATATATATAATTTCCCCAGTTCAGGCTGTGACATAACCTCCCCCTGCTTCAGTACAGTCTGACATAATGCCTAAACATGACTCTCCTGGTGACTTCCCCTTTGTCCTGGCCTCCTTGTTCTTTGCCCACTGCTTACTGCCTGTTTACATGATCCACCTGCGTGACCCTAATCCCTGACATCATTATTCATCAAAACCTCTACATTTTTTCTCCTCACTGGACTGAATTGTGCGTCACTGCTGTTTCCTTATCATTCCCTATCTCCCCATTTCCATCACTAACACACAGCTCATCTCTAGCAGCCAACCAGGACATCTGCTCTGGAGATCCGCATACACAGTCCAGCTCTTATACTCGGCGTCCAACCCTAGGACTTTCTTACTGACAGAAAATTTAAGTCTGTTCTTATTTATTTAATGTCAACTTTTATCAGCCTATTCATTCAACATGATCAATTATATCCTGATAATGTACATGTCCTTATGATGATAAACAGTAATTGTACTATTTACCTCATGCATCAAATGCCTAAGAGAACAAAACCTATTATTGATCCACTTAGATGGAGTCTTAGAGGGGAATTGATCCACTTAGAGGGAGTCTTAGAGGGGAATTGATCCACTTAGAGGGAGTCTTAGAGGGGAATTGATCCTCTTAGAGGGAGTCTTAGAGGGGAATTTGGATGTGATTTGCACAAATTCTGCGTAATTTAATATTTGAGATATAAACAAGGCCATTTAGAGTGGTTTGATGTAAAATGGTTAATTGTAGAGAAGGTTACTGATTTGAATTTCTTTATAGTGGTGGTGATAGGAACGAGGAGTCGCCATGTCTACAACATAAACATTTTATGTGTTATCCAAAACAACCAGAGAACCTACAAGTCTTCTGAGTTTTCATGTGGAATGTTTTAGAAAAGGGTGGTAAATCTAAAAAATTAACCTTTCATCCACTGTAAAAATTGGCTCATCAGTTCAACCGAAAAAAAAAAAAGAAATTACTTTATACAGTTACAAGTTAGTTAACTAGTTTTATTCAACCTAAATAAATACTTTGGATGAGCGATTCTTTCAATCAATGTAATTTTTGAGTTGAATAAAACTAGTTCAATTTCTTGTTACCACATGAATTAATAATAATAAATAATAAAAGAACTTTTTTAGGTTGACCTGACAAGCCAATTTTTACAGTGTGGGGACTATTTTGCTTTATAACACCCTGCATGTACTTTTCAAACTTACTTTTAGGTCAAAAGCATCTTAAAACCATCATGAGTGCATTTACATGCACTTAAAAATCCGATAACTTCAGGAAATCAGATTTTGTCAGTAATCCGATCAACGCATTTACATGTACTTGAGTAATTAGTTAATGGAGAAACTCCAGGTCTACATGAGTCAGACAGTAATCAGAAGCAGCCAACAGACTCTCAGAAGAAGACGTGATTTAAATGTAACATAAAACTCAAAATTCATGCAGCGGCTTTTTTTAAAAATACCGCGCCACTGTACCTGGAAATATGAACATACATCATCTAGAAGATGAATAATATTTAAATCCTTCATTTCGTTAAGCATGTATTTGGTTTCAGCTGCTTGATTATTTCTGGTACCGCTGTCTGTTTTCGCTCATGTGCAGACTGAGAAATATGAAAGAAATCAGAGTAAGAGTTCACATACACTGAGAAATCTGATTACCGAGCTAATATCCACCTCTCTTTATTGGATTTCTTAATCAGTTTTCTAAACCTTATTTCGATCTATCGGAGTATGCTGTTTATATGACCATTTGAATAATCAGATAACTGCAGAAATCCGATTATGATGAGATTATTGAGCGCATGTAAACACACTCAATGTCTCAGGCAACAGGCAACATATTCATCACCATTTCATGTAGTAACCTTCTGTGATGTTGCTTTTAGAGGCATTAAACTACGTGTCTGGTATGTTGCCAAATTAAGTAAAAACAATGGAAAAAATTGTACAGTTAGAATATATTTCATTCAAGTTATGTACACTGTATAAATTCTTCATCAATTCAACCTAAAGAAATTACTTCATGTGGTAACAAGTAGAGCAACTAGTTTTATTCAAACTAAATAAATACTTTGAATGAACGATTCCTTCAATTTATTTTTCTGAGTTGAATAAAAAAGTTTAATTTCTTCTTACTACATGAAGTATTTTTTTTTTTAGATTGATCTGATCAGCCATTTTTTACAGTGAACAGCATAACTATGTATTGAGTACACATTCAAATCAGCTAAATTAAATACAGAACATATTTCAATGTATTAACTTACTCGCAATATTGTGACATGCTAACATGCTCTTCAGTGTTCAAGTCTGTGCTGAATTTAAATGGAGTATATTATACTGGACCATACTGCTGTTAAACTAGCGCAGTACTTGTAAACTGGGAGATGTTAGCTGACAAGCCACAATGTCACCAAGCATTAAGAATCCCCCTCACTGAAACAATTGTCAGTTTTGTTTTATTTTTCATGTAAATGCCAAAAATGTGTGATAAAGGTAATGTTATAAGGCCTTTATGGAGTTTTAGCTGTACTAGCTGTACTCTAAAGGGGTCTGATGCAGGGGGAATGTGTAAAACATGGGCCTGCAAAGTAACATTGCACTTTCCATTCTACAAGACTCAGATGATGCGAAGATGTATTTGAATTGCTGTGAGACACTGTTAGAAATTCTAGATTTCATCATTGTTTCAACATCCTGCAGCCTCAGGCTTTTGCCAATGGATTCAGATGAATTCAGAAGCAGCTTAGCTTCCTTGCTTTTAGATCATCATCACCTTCCCTTTCTTTCTCATAGCTAAACACTAGACTGTGAATAGATTGTTTAAATTGCTTATAGGTCATCTGACTGAATTGAATCTCATACCTATACGCTATATGTCCAGAAGTCTGTAGACACCAGTGTTTCTTCTGAAATGAAGGGAGTTTGTCCCTCTTTGCTGCAGTAACAGCCTCTACTCTTCTTGGAAGGCTTTGCACTTGATTTCGGAACATTGATGTGAGCATTTGATTGAGAGGTCAGGTACTGATGTTGGATGATCATTTCTGCATCACTCCAACTCATCCCAAAGGTATTGGATGGAGCTCTATCACTCCAGAGAGCTCCATCATTGCTCCACAGTCCAATGCTGGGAGCCTTTATACTTCTCTTGCCAGTGCTTGGCATTGGGCATGGTGACCTTAGGCTGATGTGCTGCTCCAGAGCTTCCATTCTATTGGTCAAGGCTTTTCTATGGCTGTGGGGGCACCTTAATGTGGTTGAATTCATTCATTACAATGGCTGTCTACAAAACATTGGACATATAGTGTAGCGCATGCATACATCAATGTGGAAATGTACATGTGTCCCTGCTAAAATCACAGGCTGTGCTGTCCCTCTTGAGTTTGAAAACCCAAGCGAAACAGCATCATCACGTAGGGATTTGCGTAATATCTAGACCTACCTCATCTGCTAATGAACTCCTTTTCTCCACATGACAATCTTTCCTTCTGTGAAGATGAACCTGAGCCTGTGCTCATGCCTTACATCATCCAAACGAACGCTGGAAACATCGAAGAGCCCTGAAATAGCCTTACACTCACCGCTCATGTGAAGCCGATGATCAAAGTGATGTCTGTTTATAATTTATTTTTACCCCTCGAGAGCCCCCTACTCCCTTCTGAGTGCTCTCTGAGGCTACTCATCGCTAGTGGAATGCATTATGGTCAAGATGCCCCATATGTCTTTTTATTTCCTGTTCATTATAGTTGCGCACTTTCCGTGAATCCTCGCAGGAAGGTGGTGCAATTATATGTGGTAATAACCACCATCCACTTGCGTTTCTCTGTGCTTTTTAGGGAGAAAGCAGATCCCGTTCTCCACCCAAACGCTGGAGCACCATCTTCTGAGACGGGAAAGAGCCAGATGGACGAGACGGGAAAGGATGAGGACGTGAAAGGAGAAGCAGAGGGATTCTGCCCTGCAGACTCACACCTTGCTACGAGCTTAACAAACTAATACCGGCCACCTCCGCTTGTCAGACAGAGATACAATCCTGGTATCTGAAGGGTTACATGTGGACGAGATTACTGCGGGAAACACCAAGTCCGCCAAATTGCTGTTGAGGTGCCCAGTGGTCTCAGTGGTCAAATTGGCTTTTTACAGCTTTTTTTACTCATTTTGTTCACTGTATCCAGAATGAGCAGCCTAAAAACATTATAATAAGCCAATACAAAACAAGCTGTTATCTAAACACGATGACCCTTCTTGACCATTTGGAGGAAGCACATCGGTCACTGCTTCTAGGCCATAAGTCACTGTTATTTCTATTAGGCCACAATAGCAAATATAAACAATTACACCACAATAGTAAATACAAACGCTTCTTCCCACTGTACACACAATGATATTAGCATAGCATACTAGCTTTTATCAATGGTCCCAAGCTACAGGAACCCCATTCACAGTTGCATCTTTGTCCAGTTAAGTTGAGATATCAAGCAACACATGAGCTGATGGTCCCAAACCTGATTTCTAACTGCAGCAAACTTGGAAACAATAGAAACAATGGCATTCCCAGTAGCTGAGTCAATAGCTAGCATTCTCTGTTTCATCAAAGCTTGCTTCCATTCTCTGTCTGTCATCTTTCCATGTGACATTCACAACAAGTGTGCTTGTATTTGATGCATTATTCAGCATCACATCAAGCCATCATCTTTAATCCATGTACTACTGTGAGAAGCGTTCCCCGAAGCATGGTTATTTTATGTAAGTGTAGCATATTTGTGGATATTTGCGTGTTTTTGTGGTTGTAAAGTGTCCTGTTGTGTACAGTTTGTTTCTTCTGTGTTAAGATCTCTGTAGTATGTTGGTTTGTGAGCTACTTAAAAGGGACTTTGTATTCATAACACTGAAATGTTGTATATTCGTAATACGTGGTATAGATTTTAAAACATTATTAAGTTACGACGGGTACTAAAATAACTCTCCAGATTGGAAAACATTATCCAAGCCAGTAGAGATGAATGCCCTTACATTGCACTGCGGTAGTAAAATGCTTACAATGGTCATTTATTTAAACAGCTTGGAAATAGTATGTGTGGCACTAGCTGTGTAATGATATATTGGAAATGTTTCATATTTACTGAAATACTTTTCAAGTATTTATTATGGATTAATTATTTGTCTATAATATACATAATGAAAAGAGAGAAAGGCAGAAATGTGGGTTTCTAAGAGTTTTAAAGGTAGTGAAGGTGTGAGAAGTGCAAGACGGATGTGAGAAAGAAGAACTTAAAGAGGGGCAAGTGGAGAAGAGTGAGGCAGATTGAAGCCGGTGTTTTTGACAGGCTCCCGTTCATAACGTGTCCTGATATTGTGCATTGTTTTGTTTCTCATATACATTGTTTCTCATTCTTTGCATGTACTGTTTATGAATAAGTGCTGAATATACAATAAATGTCAGTTTCACTCCTCATCAGCGCTGGATATGTCTCGAATGGTGCTAAAGATTTACAGAGAATATTTTAGAGTGGCCAACTTTCTAGATTATGATTGTAATACTTTTAACTACTACATCAAATAAAGATTCCTAAATGTACATATTTGTAGGTTATGTGTGTTTGTCTTTCAACCACATAAACTCTTAGTGAGACCTGTACGTGTGGGCCTACACTTCAGATCTGCACTCTTAAATACATATATTACATAGTATAGTACATAGATTGGCCAAATCACTAATAACTGTAGTTTTTGTGGAAAAAAGGAAGCCACAAAGAATATTATTGTCATATATATATATATATATATATATATATATACATACATACATACATACATCATCTAAACCGCTTATCCCTCTGGGTCGCGGTGGGGTGCTGGAGCCCACCCCAGCTGCCACCGGACGGAAGGCAGGACACACCCTGGACAGGTCGCCAGTCCATCGCAGGGCTATACATATATATACATATATATATATATATATATATATATATATGTGTGTGTGTGTGTGTAATGATATATATATCGCTGTTGTCAGAACAAAACCTTGTATCTCCATTTTTTTTGTTTTTCAGTTTTATACATAAATTGAAAATGCCTGTTGCCCTTCACATTATATGTAAATGTCATGATAAAAACACCAAAAAAATGACCCAAAATGATATGGAAAAAAGTCTGGTTCCATTGACTTACATTTAAAGTAAAGTAAGTTTCTTCTCCTGTAAAGTTACCATTATGCAGGTACAAGGTTTTGCTCACCAAGCACTTTATTAGGCACACCTGTAAACCTGTTCATTTATATTAATCAGCCAATTGTGTAGCAGCACATCAACCATCAGAATATGGAAAAATGTGATCTTGGTCATTTTGACTGTGGCATGATTGTTCGAGCCTGACGGGCTGGTTTGAATATTTCTATAACTGCTGATCTCCTGGGATTTTCACTCACAGCAGTCTCTAAGATTTACTCAGATCGGTGTAAAAAAAGAAAAAAACATCCACTTAGCGGCAGTTCTGCAGACAGAAACACCTTGTTGATGAGAGAGGTCAACGGAGAATGGCCAGACTGTTTTGAGCTTACAGAAAGGCTACAGTAACTCAGATAACCACCCCAACTGTGGTGAGCAGAAAAGTATCTCAGAATGCACAACATGTCAAAGCTTCAGGAGGATGGGCTACAACAGCAGAAGACCATGTCGAGTTCCACTTCTGTCAGCCAAGAACAGAAATCTGAGACTCACCAAAACTGGACATTTGAAGACTGCACCAACAGCCTGAATCCATGGCCTTCTGTCAACAGTACATGATGGTGGAGGTGGTGTAAGGGTGTGGGGAATGTTTTGTTGGCACACTTTGGGCCTGTTTATGCCAATCAATCATCGCTTGAATGTTACAGCTTATTGGAGTATTGTTGCTGACCATGTGCATCCCTTCATGGCCACAGTTTTCCATCTTCTAATGCACCATGTCAAAAAGCAAACGTTTCTCAAACTGGTTTCATGAATACGACAATGAGTTAAATGTTCAGTGGTCTTCCCAGTCACTGGATCTGAATTCAATAGACCACTTTTGAGATGTGGTAGAACAGGAGATTAGCAGTATGAAAGTGCACCTGAAAAAAATATGTAGTTTGCAAAAGTTAAAAAAAATGATAAAAGCTACAGTGAAAATGGGAATCCTAACCACAATGCAAAGCCACCTGGCAGAGAAACCACCACCAGATGCTTCTACTTCTGTCCATTCTTCTTCTGTTTCTGTCCATCCAATAAGCTATAATCTCTGTTTATATCAAGGATAGAATACTTTAGTATGACCTCAGCTTTTACCGAGGACTCTGTCAGCTTTGACTGTGTGTGCTACGTATCTGCCCTCCCAGCCAACCCTTCCTCATTGAGCATATCTTAACAATAACCGATTTCATCATATCTGGGTACCCAAATGTTGGCCTTGGGTGGCTTTAATAGATTGACATCAATCCACTATGAAAAGGAAATGACCTAACACAAGAGGTCAAGAGCAGTACAAGAGGAGATGCCATTCTAGATCTCATAATTACAGATTTGGCCTCATATTACAACTCACTCCAGGTCCCGGTGAGGTTGAGTGACCACAATTCAGTATTATGGATACCTAAAAAAACTGACAAGATCGACAACTGTATCAAGATCAAAAAACACCAGATGAGACCTGGAAATACGGCTCAGTTTGGAAGGTGGATATTTGACCACACAAGGAAAGGGATCTATGAGGCCCATGACACAGTGTCCAAAACTAGTACTTCTACCAGACACTTAATACTGCATGTGACAGATTTCGTCCTTTGGTAACTATAAAAATACACCAAACTGACAAACCTGGGATGAATTACTAGATTAAGCACTTGATATTTCAGCGTCAGAAGGTGTTTAGACACAACAGGAATATTCCCTTGGCCAAGTTCTATAGAAATAAAGTGCAGAAAGCCATCAGTTATGCAAAAAAGGGGGGTTTACTCCAGACAAATCTCCTACTTTAAGGATGAAAACACAAGACTCTGATATACTGAGACTCGGTCTATGGCTGGAATGAAGAAAAAAACCTTAAATTGACATCCCAGATTATAAATCAGACAACAATAAAGCCATAGCTGACTTTAGAAATCAATCTGTCTCTCATATGAACCAGTCACCAACTTTACCTTCTTTTCTACCTCTCTAAAATCTCTTCCCCTGGTCTATCCATTGCAGTTATGTGATAAAATGAAATTGGGTAAAACTAAAAAAGCCCCTGGCCCTGATGGGATACCTCAGAAGGTGTGGTCACACTGTATTTGGATGGTCCCCTATAGATGCTCTACAGATACTTAAATCATTAACAAACCCTCTGGTGATGTTCAGTTGATTATCAACAACATCATGGTTAGGTTTAGGAGTAGGTGTAAGTTTTGCCTTGAGGTTAGGGTTAGATTAAATAAACTCTTTCACACTGAACTTGAAGTTCAGTTGCATTTAATGGACATTTAGTTGAATATATATATATATATATATATATATATATATATATATATATATATATATATATATAAATATATATATATATATATATATATATATATATATATAATTTTATTTATTTATTTATTTATTTTTAATATCCCCGGGCCGATATACCTTGGCCACACCACTACCACCCCTTTTTCAGGGGACATAAAGTTTGTTTATTTATTTATTTTTTTTCATTTCACTGTTAATGTCACAACTCATCGTTTATTAATGACCATACAGATACAAGGTGAAACCACTCAACCCCCCTCCAAGTACCACAACCCCTGCTTTGAGTGAAAACAAACAATCCCTTATAGGATATCCTAAATGCATCCTGTGTGGAAAGAAGCAAACACCATCCTGACTCCTTAATCTTACCGTCCAATAGCTAATCAATTATGACCTATATCACTAACACCTCAGCTCAGCAAAATAGCTGAAGAGTTTGTTGCAGTCTGGGTAAAAAGAGATATAACCCCAAATCTTGACCTTACAAAGTTTGGAAGCCGACCTGGAAGATCGACTACTCATGCCTTAGTCAGCCTTAAATAAAGCCTCTGATTTTCCTTTGACTACCAGTACTTCTATCATTACTGACTTTTCAAAAGCATTTGATAAAGTGGATTTGACTGTTGCTATGAAACGGCTGATACAATTAGGAGTCAGACCGGCCTTAATGCCATGGCTCTTTAGCTTTGTGTCTGGCTGTCGGCAAAGATTTCGGTATCAGGATTGCTCCTCTGACTGGCAAGAGCTTACTGTGGGAGTGAATCAGGTATATTACTGAGGCCTCTTATCTTCCTAGCCCTTGTAAATGATGCTTCCATTGATTTTTAGAAATTGTTGGAGGTATGTGGGCGATTTAAACCTTATCTGTATGTGTTGAGGTCCCAATGTATCCTCTCCTCAGATAGCCTTTCATAATCTAGACAGGTGGGTTCACAGCAGTCAAATGACATTGTATCCAACCTAATGCAACGTCATGACAGCGACTTTGAAGAGGAATCCACCTCCCTCCACACACCTTTACCTGTGTGGTAAACAGCTACCCACGCACACATCTTCTAAGCCGCTTATCCTTCTGGGTCGTGGAGGGAGCTGGAGCCTATCCCAGCAGTCTTTGGGCGGAAGGCAGAATACACCCTGGACAGGTCGCCAGTCCATCGCAGGGCGGAAAACAGCTACTATTTTGCAAAATAACAAGTTACTTGGAGTTTTGATTCGGTCAGATTTACAATGGGACCCTCAAATGCATAATATTGTAAAGAAAGCAAATGCAAAACTTCAGAATAAGAAGAACTGGAGTGGCTATCTCAGACCTGACTTTGATATCCACTGATTACATTCATCCCATATTAGAGTATGGCCGCCCAGCATGGCATGGAAACCTGACACAGTGTCTGTCGAACCAGAAAATATAATTTCAATGGATTATGGTACAGTTATGTTCCCTGACTAAAGGTACTGAGATGTACCCTTGAGGGTCCCACCCCAGTGACAAGAGGGGGACTGCCCCAGTGACAGTTTCATACCTTTATTTCTGAGGGTGTACCACCCCTTCAGTAGAGAAGATACATACTATGTAGACAGTTTGTCCTCAGTATCCTAACCTCCCCTTTAGAGAGTGGCTACTACCAGACATCAGGCTGGAGAACCAGGGACAATAACAAACTACAGACCCCAAAAATGAGAACTGATAGTTTTCGAAAGTCACCCACTCCTTTATTCACAAGAATGTTAAATGAAGATTTATATGTGGTTTGTATCTTTATGAGACACATAGCGTCTTTATTTATTTATTTATTTATTTACTTTCCATTTATAATATATATAGGTGGGCATTGTCAATACTCAATTCAGTTTCTGTAAAACTGCAAAATGAGTGAGAAATAAATATAATATAATACAATATTATTATAATCTAATCTAATCTAATCTAATCTAATATAATATAATATAATGTAATATAATATAATATAATATAATATAATATAATATAATATAATATAATATAATATAATACAATATAATGAAGGTAATGTGTGAACACACTAAATACTGGAAAAAAATACATTAT